GGGGGTGTCACAGTTGTTTCAGATTGCTAGGCACTCTGCATCCTACTATGTGCCATGTGAGACGTATACCTAGCTTAAGATTGCGCTGCTTGAGTTGAGATGTGTTGGTTTTTTAATAGATGGGGCAGCAAAAAGATTAAAAGTATTGACTGAAAATGTCTCTCAAATTATTTTATTAAGCATAACAAGGCTTTAAATAGCCAATTAGGACAAAAAATCCACATAATTTAAAATATAAAAAACCTAAAATATTATCAAAATACCTTTAGAAAAGTTTCTCTTCGAACCAGATTTTTGTTGTGCTTGAATACCTTTAGCCTTCCGGACTTCATTGCATTGAAATAAATTTCTCTTGGAGATCCACTCAGGTTTGTAATTTTATCAAAATAATTATTTGCTATGGGTGGTAATTTCTAAAAGTAGATCATGCATCAAACTTGGGTCTTTCAATGTTTTCCTACTGATTGAGCAAATTTGGATCTTATCAAATCAGTTGGCTAATTTATCCACACAATGATGCGTCACATAAAAGAGGAAGTCTGTATGGTCGAACTAGTCTTGTTTCAAAACCACTTCGTATACTAATAGCACTTGTTCACGTAGAGTAAAGTCTGAAAAGGATAGCATTTGTTTAACACTTCATTTATTAGCAGCATTTGTTGCGCAAGTAAAATTTAGCGGAATATTGTGATATTGCTGGTCTTCATCAGATAAAAGAGAGTTCTAATTTTGTGCAAGATCTCATTGTTTTGCTAGTGGAGATGCTTGAAACTATTGTTTTATTGTGGAAAATTGACTTGGTTAATTGTGGAAAATGCAGGGGCTGATACAACACCATAAGGAAATTGTTGAGTACTTCAACAACAAAGGCGTTTCCGTGATATTTCTTTTCAGAAGGAATCTGCTGCGTCGTATGGTTTCCGTGATTGCAAATTCCTATGATCGATACGCCAAACTCTTAAATGGAACACACAAGTCTCATGTGCACTCACCTGAAGAGGTATCTTCTTAAATCCCTCCCTCCCCATAGTATACACGGACATAAAGTTAACAGAATCTGATCATTTTGCTGCTTCTCCTAGGCTTCTACTCTCGCGAAGTATAAACCAGAAATCAATACAACATTACTGATCACAGATTTGAAGAAAATGGAAGTGGCAGCCACTGAGGCATTGGAGTACTTCAATAGCACTCGGCACCTAACTCTCTATTACGAAGATCTTATCAGAAATCAGACTGTAAGAAAATACATTTCTGAAGTTATAATTACCTTGTCATGCGTCGTTGCATTAAAATCCAAGAAGTTCTGATAATTTCTCATTTCAACTATATCTCGTCAAGTTTCTTAATTTCGCATATAGTCAGTAATTTTTTTTCTCACAAAGCTACTTTTTGTCATATTAAAGTAAATGGCGTTTACCCACTATAACAGTAAAGTCACGAAACTTTGCCCACTGTAATAGAAAAGTCACCTTGAGGGGTAGGTCTAGTCGTTTTAATGGGTAAAGTTTGGTGATTTTGCTAAAGGATAAAATGCAGTTACTTTAATGCGGGAAAAAATAGTATTGTGTTTTACGTAAAGTTCAATTACTTTAAAGTGTCAAAAAGTAGTTTTAGTACTTTACTATTATAGTAGTTGATAAAATTTAGTAACCATATGGGAAATTAACCTATATGCACTCTGTTGAAGTTTCCTTAATGCAAAGAAATTCAAGATCAATTGTTTAGTAATGTCAGGACACTATATGATTGAAGGGCCAATTTATTCTTTTCCCTTTTTCTATACGGAAAGATACTCGTTCCTTTCTGTTGCTCATTATTTTCTGGATTTGTTGCAGAAATTGGGAGATGTACTAGATTTTCTAAAATTGCCACAAATGAATTTAAGTAGCCGCCAAGTTAAGATACATAGTGGACCTTTGCGGGAGCATATCAGGAACTGGGATGATGTGAATAAGACATTGAGCGGAACAACATATGAGAGTTTCCTTCGCTCTGACTGTTAAATTTTCACCTTCATTGATTGATGAAGGAGGTGTAGATATCAACCTGGAAATATATCTTACTGCATTACAACAGCAACTGCTACGCCTGAAAACCAAACAGATTGAGACCGGCAATGTGAGCAAGCTCATATAGACGGTGCATTGGTCGATGTAAATCAACAGAAATCCAGTTTAGCCCCACATTTATCTGTAGGTTCCATATTTGTTTTTTTCCAAATTGCAAGTGTAATTAAGCTGAGTGTCAAAGGTCAAAGATCTTATAGGCAATA